GCTGGCCCAGTTTCAGAGGTAAAATTAGAGAGAAGATGGCCACCAAAATTTGGTGACTTTGGAAACTGAAAATTTACCATTTTTCTGCCTTTAATCAACATTTTTCAGTGAAATCCACTCAGAAAAGCATTTTTAAATGACCATAAAAGGTGATGAGCTGAAAAAAAAAAATATTTAGAAAATTAGAAAATTGCATGTGCCCAGAAAAATGCCACTTTCTTTAATTGCATTGTTTTGACGAGTGCCTGATTTCAGCACACTGCCTCACAGTCGTACTTTGTATCCCCCCCCCCCCCCCCTCAGCAGACACGTCCCTCTCTAGTGAGGATCACCTCATCGTGAGCGGTTCGTTTGACTCCAGCTACAAGCTCTGGTCTCTGAACTCTGGTGAGTGACACAGACAGTACAAGTGGGTGGTTGGCGGGTGCTCTGGTGTGGTTTGCTTCATCTTTCCTATGAAACATCTATCGTCCTTATCTCCCCTTCTTCTTTTTTATGTTGGTTACTCTCTTGTAACACCTTTAATCTTCTGGTGCTCATATGACCTTATGCAGTTGCAAGGGCCGTAAAACCTCTACTAAAACTAAAGACAGTACAAACACTGGTCTCTCTACACTGGTGAGTGACACAGACAGTACAAACACTGGTCTCTCTACACTGGTGAGTGACACAGACAGTACAAACACTGGTCTCTCTACACTGGTGAGTGACACAGACAGTACAAACACTGGTCTCTCTACACTGGTGAGTGACACAGACAGTACAAACACTGGTCTCTCTACACTGGTGAGTGACACAGACAGTACAAACACTGATCTCTCTACACTGGTGAGTGACACAGACAGTACAAACACTGGTCTCTGAACACACTGGGGGTGAGTGACACAGACAGTACAAACACTGGTCTCTGAACACACTGGGGGTGGGTGACACAGACAGTGCAAACACTGGTCTCTGAACACTGTTGAGTGACACAGACAGTACAAACACTGGTCTCTCTTCACTGGTGAGTGACACAGACAGTACAAACACTGGTCTCTGAACACACTGGGGGTGAGTGACACAGACAGTACAAACACTGGTCTCTGAACACACTGGGGGTGAGTGACACTGACAGTACAAACACTGGTCTCTCTACACTGGTGAGTGACACAGACATTGTACGGGGGTTAGTGTGATATTGTGGTTAACCTGCTCAGCTCTTGATCTAATCCCCCGTTAACTCTTGTGGGATTTCTTGTGGTTATTGATGCTCATCTCTTGATCGGGGGGTTAAAAAGTCATGTACCCTGATGATTCTCTTGGAATTTTTTGTAAGGTGTGCAGCACATGGGGGGGTCCACATGGTGTAGGGATTATGATACCCGTCTCTTGATTTAATTATAATAATAAATGACATTTATATAGTGCTCAACACGATTAAAGTACACAGGCTCTCAGCGCTTTACAATACAGTGCAACGTACAACAGTAACATAAAATATTGTGTTTTGACTAAAAGAAAATCACTCCTAATATTCATCCTATTAATTTAAAAATAGAAACGACTTCAGCTGACGTTTGAATGAATCAAAAGATTTGGAGGTGGAGAGTCAAACACCACAATAAATTCAATATATTATGTATGTGTGTTTGTGTGTGTGCATGCCTGTGTGTGTATGTGTGTGTGTGTGCATGCCTGTGTGTGTGTGTGTGGATGTGTGTGAGAGAAGAAGCACAACGTTTTTTTCCTACTTTTCATCGTTCCTGTTGTCCACTGGTGATAGATTTTCTCCATTTGTTTCCTCAGGTCAGATGGTCAAGAGTGTGTACACCTTCAACCCGGTCACCTGCATTCACTTTTCGGAAGCCCAAGCCATGCTTATCACTGGATCAGGTACTTGAGTGTACTGGAGCTCACTGTCTTTATCGGTCTTTGTGTGTGGGTGGTTGGTGGGTGCTCTGGTGCGGTTTGCTCCTTCTTTCCTATCAAACATCTATCGTCCTGATCTCTCCTCCTTCTTTTTTGTGTTTGTCACTTTCTTGTAACTCCTCTAATCTTCGGCACTTGTATGACCTTGTATGACCTGCTTGTGTTACAAGTGCAGGGCTCCCAGTGAAAAATTTTCCCAACCCCTGAACTTTGTCGGAAGATCGCGATAGACGAAACAAAGAGCACAAGTTGGCCTACGAACATTGCAAAAGGAAGAGCAAGAAAACGAGCACTGAAAGGATCCATGTAAACAAACAAAACATGTTTGGGAAAAGAAAATGTTGCCAGATACATGTATTCGCATAAATTGTGAAAGTCAACCGATTTCGATAAAAACCGGAAAGGCAAAGTAAGTAGTAGTTATGAACAGGAAGTAAAGGTGGGCGGTTAGTGCCAAACTGGCATACATCGCTCTATTATTATGTTCTCCAAATTTTCGCATTTTTTCTCAGAGTAGATAATTATGAAACCCGTGCAGACGCGAAGCGCGACGGAAACATGACCGCGCGATGCTCAGCGATTCCGCGGCCGCTGATCTCAGCCCCGGACTTTCTCCGAACCGTGAACCCCGGAAATTCGCGGAAGTCTGAGAGCCCTGCAAGTGCCATAAAACTCTCGACTAAAACAGGCTGCAGGCCACCCACAAATCTCTCCTGCTGTCTCCAGGATGAAGGATATTTTACTGAAGAAAAACAGTACAAGGGACGCGTCATCAGCAAACTATTCTTCAGCTAGATGCCCAGAAAGCAACACTGTTCAGGAGAGAGGAAAATAACTTTCATTTATTTGTAATTGTACATGTACCCAAACTATGTGTCTGTTTTTCCTTTTTTTTTGCCAATGTTTTGAATTTGAATTGGTTTTCTCCTCATCAAGGTGGCGTCAGTGGCCTAGTGGTTCGCCTACCGGACTCGTAATCGTTAGGTTGCGGGTTCGGGGGTTCTGGCCTCAGCTGTCCGACGTTGTGTCCTTGGGAAAGACACTTTACACGAATTCCCCACTTGGCTCGGTCTTTTCGGAGATTGACGTTAAACTCGAAGGACCTCTTAGATAACCTAACAGTGCTGATAGGGGCGTTTAACTTATAGGTACCATTTTACCACTTGCTCCCTATCACATGTGAATAAAGCACAGTTTGTAACTCCCCCGGGGCGGTGCTACTGACTGAAGTTGTCTTTAGGCCCTTCCCAAAGGGGGGACATTAACCATGTTCTTATGCACAGCAGAATTGTAAATGGGCTGATTAATCAATGTCATGCTCATAACTGTGCCTGAACTGCATACGCGAAACTGCTGCTTTTCATTTCCTAATCCTTACTATTTCTCATTTTTTTCCTCTACTTCTTTTGTATGTTTGTCACTCTCTTGTGCCTCGCTATTTCCGGGGTGCCTTGATAGTTGAAGCAGACTTTGTGCTGTTTAAGCTTAAGAGGTGAGCAGAGTAAGCCTGATTTCCTATATGGACTTTTCTGTCGACATCCACCCCTTGGCGCTCATTTGACCTTATGCAGTTGCAAGCACAGTAAAAACTCTACTAAAACTAAATACTAAAACAGTTTGTTATCTTTGTTTTCTTAATCAGTAGGCCTACTCTTACTTTATCGCATGCCAATTTTTTCCCTCAGATGGTGGCAAGCTGGAGTTGTGGGACTTGGCTTCTGGCTCGAACTTGTGGTCCAACATTGTTCATAGGGGGTCTGTCACTGGGGTCAAGGTCAGTGTGTGAAAAGAACGTACTTTCATACAGTTTGGAGGGTCTGCTTACAGAAGTCTGTATTTGTGCCGCAAATTACGTATTTTCTTACCTTCACTACTCTGTAATCAACGTCTCTTCTCTGTTGTCATCTTCATTTTTCTTCTTCACTTCTGTTATAAACCACCTTTGCTCTTCCATCATCACTTTCATTTGTTATGTTATCGCTTTCACTCTTCTCTGATCATCTTTTCCATTTTCTGTTATCACCTTCTTTTTTTCTATTTGTATTTTCTCTTTATTCTCTCTCTTTTATCTCCTTCACTGTTTGTTTTTTTCAGCAGCGGGTGGTTGGCGGATGCTCTGGTGTGGTTTGCTTCTTCTTTCCTATCAGACATCTATCGTCCTTATCTCCCCTCCTTCTTTTTTATGTTTGTTACTCTCTTGTAACACCTCTAGTCTTCTGGCGCTCATATGACCTTATATAGTTGCGAGCGCCGTAAAACCTCTACTAAAACAAACAAACCTTCTCTCAATTCACTCTTCTGCTTTCAACTTCATTCTTTTGTTTAATCACCTTCTCTCAAATTTTACTCTTTTTTCTTTATCACGTTCTCTGAATTCACTCTTCGGTTTTCACCTGGACATTTCTGTATTGTCTCACGTCTGTTGTTCAGGTTGTCGAGAAGACAGTGTTCAGCTCCAGTGCAGATGGGGTCCTCAAGGTGCACCACGTGGCAGACGACAGAAAACTGTCGTGCGTCTTCGAGTCGGAGAACCTTAAGTCGGCTTCCGGCCGACAGATGAATGTTCGGCATGTGAGATGTTTAGAGTATGGTCCCAAAGGCCTCTTCTATGGGGATGATTCCAGAAATATTAAAATCGTTGATTGGAGAAAAGGTATGTACACTTATTTTTAATTAAGTATTTGTTTCCTGAGTAAATTGTTTATATTATTTTCACTGCATATTTCATTTTGGGGGAAACTTATATGATGTAATTTGTGTTGCAAGTTCTGTAAAACTCCCCCTAAAATGTATTACTTTTTGGGGGGGTTTTTTGGGGGGGAGGGGGTACTTATCTGTCATTTTAATTTTTCTCTTTTTTTTAAAGGGAGAGGGGAGCTTCTGACCTTTCTGGGACCTGTGTCAGTTTTACCGTCTAATTTTGCAGTCACTGTTGTGGATTCACAGAAATTAATTAGAATTTGACTGAAAGAAAGTACTGTGAGAGATGATAGAGATGAAGTGTTTTCAAGCATCATTATTTTTTTAACAAAATGATTTTATCTGTGTACTGAGACTGAAAAAATGATTTTATCTGTGTACTGAGACTGAAAAAATGATTTTATCTGTGTACTGAGACTGAAAAAATGATTTTATCTGTGTACTGAGACTGAAAAAATGTTTTCTGTGAGAACCGGAACTAGCAGACTCTGTGGTCTCCAAAAAGTTCAGCTTGAGATCACATTAGATACAACGTAACAGGATCCGCTGTTTTCAATTACCCTTTTTCCGGGATATCTGCGTCTTTGTATTATATGATGTGATGGGGGTCAATGACCTTAAACAGGGAATAATGAATAAACCTACTTACTATTAACTACTTTTCTGTAACTGAAACATAATCAGTAACCTCCAATCTCTTTAAATTATTTCAGGTATCGCCAACAAAGTCCCCAACCATGGCTCCAGCTTCACGTCCATCGATGCTATCTGTTGTCATGACGACTACCTGGTGTCCTCCAGTTATGACCTTGACAATGGTCTAGGATATATTAATGGTGAGTGGTGCGGCTTGTTTCTTGTTTGTACAAGTTTGTTGGGGGGGTTTTATTAAAAATTCTCTTCCGTAAAATACTATCCCTATCACACCTGTAAAAATGGGAGACTTCCGTTACTCTTTCCTTGACTCCAAATGGGAACTGACCATGTCTTGCCCTTGGAGCTCATCAGGGAAGTCAAGATCTGAAAGGAGTAAAGGAGTACTTGGGCAATCTACTTCCTCTATGTCTACGGCCCAGACAAAGCTGTATCATGTATACTGCTGTAAGATCTACTTCCTCTCTCTGTCTACCGCCCAGACATAGCTGTATCATGTATACTGCTGTAAGATCTACTCCCTCTCTCTGTCTACCGCCCAGACAAAGCTGTATCATGTATACTGCTGTAAGATCTACTTCCTCTATGTCTACCACACAAAGCTGTATCATGTATACTGCTGTAAGATCTACTTCCTCTATGTCTACCGCCCAGACAAAGCTGTATCATGTATACTGCTGTAAGATCTACTTCCTCTATGTCTACCACACAAAGCTGTATCATGTATACTGCTGTAAGATCTACCTCCTCTATGTCTACCACACAAAGCTGTATCATGTATATTGCTGTAAGATCTACTTCCTCTATGTCTACCACACAAAGCTGTATCATGTATACTGCTGTAAGATCTACTTCCTCTATGTCTACCGCCCAGACAAAGCTGTATCATGTATACTGCTGTAAGATCTACTTCCTCTCTCTGTCTACCGCCCAGACAAAGCTGTATCATGTATACGGCTGTAAGATCTACTCCCTCTCTCTGTCTACCGCCCAGACATAGCTGTATCATGTATACTGCTGTAAGATCTACTCCCTCTCTCTGTCTACCGCCCAGACAAAGCTGTATCATGTATACTGCTGTAAGATCTACTTCCTCTATGTCTACTGCCTAAGCAAAGCTGTATCATGTATACTGCTGTAAGTGGGTGTTTGGCGGATGCTCTAGTGTAGTTTGCTTCTTCTTTCCTATTAAACATCTATAGTCGTTATCTCCCCTTCTTCTTTATTTATGTTTGTTACTCTCTTGTAACAGCTCTAATCTTCTTGCGCTCATATGACCTTATGCAGTTGCGAGCACCGTAAAACCTCTACTAATACTGTTGTAAGACCTACTTCCTCTATGTCTACCTCCCAGACAAAGCTGTATCGTGTATACTGCTTTATCTGTCAATCCACTCCGAAGGGCTAGAACTCAGATGGCCGCTGGATCAGAAAAGTGAAGTAAAAGTTATCTGTCAAGACGCAAAAGGCCATAACATGTTTATAAAGGTAGTCCCGTACCATTCAGATGACTTATAAGTTGACTATGAGACCAAAACTTGCTGTTATCAAGGTGACTCTATGTTTCAAAATATGATGTGTACTCCATATGATACTGTTGCTTACTCTTTACTAAGAATGTTATCTTTGAAAATAAGAATTAGAATTAAAAAGTACTTTACATGTTGCCGTACGGATGTTACTTTCTTGAAACAAAGGTAGTGGTGGCCTACATCAGAGAGAAGTTTGCAGATAGTCCACTGCTCTTCATGCCACAGCTGTCCCCGTGGTTTTATACACCCAGCATAATTTAGCAAAATTTGATTATTTTTTGCATAATTTTTGATTATATTCCTTTATCATTCTTTATTAAAATTAACAGAATTGCATAATTTCACATTTTTGGGCTCATTTTGCATAATTTCATAATTTTTCTTGCCTAAAACGACGGGGACAGCCATAGAAACTCAAAATCACCACATATGAGGATTTGCTTCTTTTGGGGGGTCTCACTCAGTGGTTGGTAGAGTTCCAACTTCTTTTCTTTCCCTCTGTTGTTTCTGCCCTTCTGTCTCAGTTTTTCCCTGCACTATATGACAGCTGTCATGTCAGTGTGCTTCCCTTTACTCAAATGCAAACATAGGTGGTTGACAGGTGCTCTGGTGTGGTTTGCTCCTTCTGTCCCATCAAACTTTAATCGTCCTGATCTCTCCTTTTTCTTTTTTGTTTCTCTGTTACTCTCTTGTAACACTTCTAATCCTAAGCACTTATATGACCTAATTGTGCTGCAAGTGCTGTAAAACTCTGGCTAAAACAATAAAACAAATGCAAACCATTTTAATCTGGTACAGTTCGCTCCTCCCGGACCTTGGAGTACCTGGCCACTATCGACGACCGCGAGACGGAAAGGATTGTTTGCTTGGCCATCAGCAAGCTGCCCAGTGGGAACTTTTATGTGGTCAGCGGAGGCATGGAGCTGAAAGTGTGGGAGGTGGGCAACAAAGGAGGACAATGGAGGTGAGCAGTAGGGCTGTGTCGCGAGCGCGAGAACGGAACTGAATCGCCACTCTTGCCAGCGGAACGCGATTCACGATTTACTTTAGCGGAACGAGGAACAGTATCGCCAAACGATTCCCGATTCACTCCCCTGTCGCTGTCACCACCTTGTGGCTTGTTTAACCTACTGCTGAGTCGAGTCACGAGCGCAAGAACGGAACGGAACACTTAGTATGGCTCCAGTTATTTTACAAAAGATGGTATAGTCCAACCCCCCTATTAAAACAAAATGAATAGGGTCCAACCAATAGACAGAAGCGCAAAAACGGAACGGAACACTTAGTATGGTTCCCCTTATTTTACAAAAGATGGCATAGTCCAACCCCCCTATTAAAACAAAATGAACGGGGTCCAACCAATAGATAGAAGGAATTTTATGGAGCCATTGTTTTAGCAAATCATGGGTTTTGGGGGGGGGGGGGGGGTGAATTTATGGGGGTCACTAATTGAGGTCAGTTGATAGAGCAGCGCAACAAAGGGTGTGGGGCGGAGAGGATGGCGGAACAGCAAGAGTGGGACTCGCGCTCGCCAAGTGGCGTTGATACCTGTATGACACTGTTTCGTTTCAGTCAGTGTTCCGCCACTGTTCCACGAGCGCTCGCATACTCGCGATTCTTTGAAGCCGACTGAATCGCGAATCGCCACTCTCAAATTTGGCGAGCCGGATCCAGCCCTAGTGAGCAGGGCTCCTCTTTTCAGGCCAACTTAATAGGTTCCTTCACCCTTTGGTTGTCTATCTTAAGGGGTATTTAAACCTTTGTTTTAGAAAAATCTTGGTCCTTGTGCTTCTCAGGAAGCCGAGAATGTTTCTGAATGTTCTAGGGTGTGCAGGGGGGAAGCATATGAATTGTTAAGCGCATAGAGTGTGCTGTTGAGCGGGGATAGGCGCTATGCAAATGCTATTCATTGTCATTATTGTCTACTCCCCAGTGGACACAAGGTCCGATAGTGTACCGTTGACATAATTGGTGGCTTTTAAGCACAAGGGGGCTATCCCGAAAAATGCTGTTTTGAGAAAATGGAGGGTGAAGTTTTTGGGCCCTTGTTCAGTTTCTTTAAAAGACGAGGAGAATTTTCTCTATAACCAAACAAATATACACACCAATGAAACCAAACTTCTCCTATAGGTAGGGCAATGCCCACTTTTGGTGTAGGTCAAGATTTCTGGAAACCCCCGAAATCTGGGTTAGCCCGCTTGTCCTTAAAAGCAACCGATTGAGGAGGTGGGTTGCTTTTACCCTTCCTGTCAAGGTCAAGTTGGGTCGAGAGGTATACAGCATCCCAGCTGAAAGATGAATGACATGTATATTATGAAGGAAAAATAGAAATACAGTCCACTCCACTTGCAGCGATGTCGGTTGTAAAGATCTTTGGACATAGCGATCTTTTTCCGCTGACCGGGCACCGATGTGACACAAACTCAATACAATTGAAACAGTTGTGCTGAATCCACTACATCTGTCGTGATGACTCTAGTGATGCGTATTCCTATCCCTGGCCCATATAGGCCTAGTTTATAGTAAAAATATAACAGTTTTCACGATGTTTCCCCCGTGGTTAGTTTTGACCTAGCATTGATGAACCCGTTGATGTTTTGTAATGTTACGCACATTCACACAATAGTGCGTGGCATCAGACGCTTAGCCAGCAATCTCCCACATGATACTATTTTGATAACCTTACATGACAAGCGCCGAAGCGAACACGATACTGCCTCTCTTTCACTTCGCCTAGTGCCATGAGGGACAAAACTACCTTGTGTTGGCAGTAGTACTGGGATTATTTCCCTTGAATTGTTCTTCCAACAGTTGTTGGGAACTTCAGATCATGTAGCGATCTTTTTTCTGGTCCCCCAATGACATCGCTACTAGCGTAGTCTACAGTTAAGAAGTGCAAACATATTTATTAAGCGAGCCCGCTCTCCCCTCTCCATGTCTCTTATCGAGGGTGGATGCCCAGGTATTAGTTTACTCTGTCATCGACACAGTATAGGTCTGTGTTTGCACAAAATAATTTATATCTACTGTTGTTGTTGTTAGCGATCCAGTATAATTTATATCTCATAATGATGTATTGGAGCATACTATCGCCAATAGGTACCCCTGGAGAGTGAATGGCCACCCCTGGAAAATGTTGTATCAACTTGGCAGTTGCCCTGTAGTGATTTGTCATTTATCCTGATTTTTTTCACCAAATCCTGATTTTCTTCCACTGAATCCTGATTTCCCCCCCTGAAATCCTGATTTTTAGATTTTATAGAGTGGCAGGTCTGGTGCCGAATGAATAACAACATAATTTGTTGTGGATTTTGATCAGAACTTTCTTAAGATTGTCAGTTACAATATTTATACTATATACTATATACCTCAGGGTCTTAACTTGACTATGGAAAAAAAATCCTTTCCTTTCCTTCAAGAGCATAATTTTGTTGAAAGTGAATGTAAAAATATGAAGCCTATGTATCTTTTCGCTCCAGGACTACAAGCCTGATTGAAGACGCAGACTTTGTAAAACTGCTTCACAAAGGCAGCCTCTCGAGAACAGCAATAGATTCGGAGACGGATGTTTCTGATGAGGAGGAGGATGATGACGATGAAGACGACGATGGTGATGACGCCTCCGTGGAAGAGTCGGACGAGGACCCTGAGAAAAAGGAGAGTGGCCAGGCCGCTAGCTGGATGTCATGGTGTGCTGTTTTGTGATCCTTCACGGGGCCAGCACCCCCCCCCCCCCCCCCCCCCCCCGGGCAGTGCTACTGACTGAAGTTGTCTTTAGGCCATTCTCAAAAGGGGGGTGTTAACATGCTTTTATGCACAGTAGAATTGTAAATGGGCTGATTTATCAATGTCATGCTCATACTGTACTGGAACAACATAGGGGAAACTGATGCTTTTTCTTTCCTCATCCTTACTATCGCCATTTTACCTCTACTTCTTTTGTATGTATGTCACTCTCTTGTGAACTGCTATTTCCGGGGTGCTTTGATAGTCGAAGCAGGCTTTGTGCTGTTGAGGCTAGAGAGGTGAGCAGAGTAAGCCTGATTCCCCGTTTGGACTTCTCTGTTGACATCCACCCCTTGGCGCTCATATGACCTTATGCAGTTGCGAGCACCGTAAAACCTTCATCATCATCATCAATGCTTTTTACCCCTGGCAAGGTATAGGCCACATACAAGCTCCTTCCTTTTATCTCTGTCCTGGGCCATCCTTCTAAGCTCGTTCCAAGTGAGCTTCATCTCTCTCATGTCCCTTTCCACTCATCTCCTCCTTGTTTCCCATTTACTTCTGCCCAGCAGCTTCCTTTCGGCTTTCACTGCCTCGCATCATAAACTCTCCCTTCTGAGAAAATCCACGACCAGCCAAGCAGAGATAATGGTTTTTGCTTGCATGTGTTTCTGTAACAGGTTCTTTTCCGTAAAACCTTACTAAAACTAAAAAACGGGGCCAGCTCTGGAGAGTGCTGATTTATGGCGTAGTCGTAGGCCACAGGTGCTGCGAGCCACATCCCACTTGCCAAACAGTTCTACGCAGCCTTCAGCGAGAGAATTTTGGGTAGTCCATCCTGAGAATCTCTCTCCATAACCCAGAACCTTACGCCAAACATAAACGGTCTTGTTACCGAGAAAATATGCCAAAGACAAATGACGAATTGGCTTAAGAATGAAAATTGGTCGGCTATGCCTGGATTTGTTATTAGATAGCAAACGATCTTGTCAGTTTTTTGTGTTTCAGTGTGTGCAATCTCCAGCTTGTACTGTATGTTTCCCAGGAAGTTGAGAATGTTTCTGAGTGTTTTTCTCAAGTCTGCTGGAGTAATTGTAATAGTTGTCAAATGCATAGAGCTTGCTGTGGAGCGTTGATGTATGCGCTATATAGATGAAGTTATTTTTATTTGTTATTATTATTATTATTCATTATTTGTTTTTTTCTCCAGCGAAATAGAAGAATTTTAAGAATTCAAGGTTACGATGACTTGTGGCTTCTGCTGTGTCTTTGAGACCAATTCTGGCAGAGAAAAGTTGGCCACATTTTTAAAATATTTAAAAGCTCCACTTCCGCTTGTGGATGTTTTCAGCTTGTGGGTTTCTCTCTGGGTTTCAGCATTTCTTAATCGTGAAGCCTCGTATGATTTGATTTGCTGCCCATTGTGACTGCTGCTCTCCAGTTGGGTCTGTCAAGTCTTTGCTCAAGTCAAACATCTGCTTTTTTTTCTATCCATTGATCTCATTAGCCATAGCAGAAACCACAAGTCATCTTAACTTTACCTTTGATTCTTGTATTTCACTTGAGAAATATTCTCCTCTGCAGGGGCATATTGGTCATCTTCAGACATTGACTGAAGAAGTCTCATTATTTTTGTTATTGTGGTTATTATTATTATTGTTGTTATATTATAATTGTTATTATTCTTATTCATATTGTTAATTATTATTATTGTTATTATTATTATTATTATTGTTGTTATTATTATTATTATTATTATTTTCATTATTATTATTATAGTGTGTGGTTGTTGCGTGGTCCCATCTTGACTAAAGTAGTTTTGCCTCTCTTGTGTTAGCTGAGGTATAGGTGGAGAGAGTTCTGTTAGCTGAAGTGTAGGTGGAGCGAGTTGTGTTAGTTGAAGTGTAGGTGGAGATTGTGGGTTTGTTCTGTACCAGCATTAAACTGAAAGCAATATTAGAAACTGTTTGTGTGTACATGCTGAGTTATGGATTTAGTATGTCTATGTGTTTGTGTGTGTGTCTGAGTGAATTCCATGACAATATATTATTTCATAATGCAAAATGATATTGAACAGTATTGGAAAAAGTCCAGTAGAACTTTTTCTATCCCTCGTCCCATCTGCATTGGGAAATATTCCAGTGCATGGCCTCATCTTTGTTATGTGCAGTCGTTATAACTTATTTTATAACTGCATACTTTGTTCTCTTCAATTAAAATGCAAACATGTGAGAAAAGACAATATTTTTTCTTTGTCAGGGCACCCAAATATATATATACAGTATAACACGGATAGGTCGAACACAGAAGACTCGAAATCACGCATTCGTGGAACTGTGCCTGCAGTCCGGTTTTTTCTTTTTCTTTATCTTTGTAGGATATCCCTCAAACTACGAATCTCTGGAACTACCGAGGCCGGTCCCGACGAATTCGATCTATCCGTGTTATACTGTATTTTTTTGGACTCTGTATATTTTTTATCAATGTTGTTTTGCTGCCTTTACTTTAAATAGCATTGATTGTGGTAGGATTTACTTTGTGATATGATACATATTCAAATTATAATGTGTGTGAGTGTGTATTTGTTTATGTGTATGCGAGTGTGTGTGTATGTGAGTGTGCGACAGTGTGTGTGTATGTGAGTGTGCGACAGTGTGTGTGTATGTGAGTGTGCGACAGTGTGTGTGTATGTGAGTGTGCGACAGTGTGTGTGTATGTGAGTGTGCGACAGTGTGTGTGTATGTGAGTGTGCGACAGTGTGTGTGTATGTGAGTGTGCGACAGTGTGTGTGTATGTGAGTGTGTGTGTGCCAACAAGCTCAAAGTTCTATTGTGTTTTGCCAATGTTGCATGGTTGTGTAGAGACAGACAGATGCTTGACCAGTCGATACAAGGAAGGGGTTAATAAACCACTCGTACAAACACAATACTGTAAACTTTGTTCTTCCATGCTGTCTTTAGCTTTCTTTTTTGCGCTGTAGGGCTTTCCATCGTGTTGAAAGTGGGTGGTTGGCGGGTGTTCTAGTGTGGTTGGCTCCTTCTTTCCTACCAAACCTCTCTATTGTCCTCATCTCTTCTTCTTGTGTTTCTTGCAATAATTCTTTAATTTTCAGCGACTTATATGACCATATGACCTAATTGTGTCGTTGAGGCTAGAGAAATGAGCAGAGTACGCCTGATTCCCTGTATGGACTTCTCTGTAGACATCCACCCCTTGGCACTCACATGACCTTAGGCAGTTGCGAGCGCTGTTAAACAACTCTACTAAAACTAAAACTAAAAAAAAGAAAAAGATAATAACTTAGTAAGTATTTATGCATGGAGCTCGGGCCAACACAGCACTGGTTCAACAACCAGACTTTTCATAAACCCTAACACAGTGAGGGGTTACCATTTTGAAGAACCCAGGCCACTACCTGGCTGAAACTACAGTATAACACAGATGATAGGTCGAACACAGAAGACTCAAAATCATGCACCCGTCAAACTGTGCCCGTGGTCCCTGGTTTTTTTTCTTCTTTATCTTTGTAAGATATCCCTCAAACTACGAATCCCTCGAACTACCGAGACCGGTCTCGACGAATTCGAGCAATCCGTGTTATACTGTATATATAGAGGCCAATATGGGGCTCATCTCTCTAAAAAATTAGAAGTCAAAAAAAAAAAAATTACAGGAAAAAAGTTTTCAGTTATTATCCAATGATTTTAATCTCACCATTTGACAGAGTTTTCATCTTGCATTAGTCTACCAAAAGTATTAAACAACATGTAGGTGACGGTAGAAAAAGCACAAGTACTAGGGGCCTACTGACACAAAGCAAGTAGACAATACTGTTGGTGTTTCACCGACAAGTGATTTGTACACACCACTGTCCCGCAGATGCTGGGAGAAAAATGACCTACTAGATGTCACCAAAACTCAATCTGGTGCAGCCAGACGACTAAACCAGATCTATCTCTGTCGGACATCATAAATTAGACAAACAGAGACAAAACTAGTACATGTACTAGCCACAGAAACACTGCAAATCCTTGCAAGAATAAAGGCTGTCAGAACAGTCATATCATTCCCAGAGACACAAATGATTCGTATACAGACAACAAATTAAATCAACTGGGGCAAGGGGAGTGTGGTGAGGAAGAAGGAAGAAGAAATTAATCAATAACTTACAAAGACAGAAATAAAGCTAAGAACCAGGGGAGAGGGGTAGTAAGTAGCAGTAAAAGTACGCTGTATTTCAATCTCAACATAAAGCTACGGAACTGATATTCCTATCCTTTCTTGTAATGTAAGTTTATACTCTTACTAAAGTATCAGTCCCAATATATATATAAACAGAAACTGAGATGTGGTTTTTAATCTCAGGGGGGGGGGGGGGCCATACGTTTTCCATTAAAATGTCACAGACATGGATACAAACTGCTCAGTTGTAATTGAGATGACAAAACTGACCCAAGGTCAAAGCTCTTTCATCGACAACTTTCAACGAAACAGAAGGTAGAGGAATAGAAAGAGAATAAAACCCGACAGCATACTGGAAACACCAGAGTCCCAGAACAGCGTTGATGAAGTTTGAGACTAAAACAACGGTCGTAGCTCTCCGTATTAGACCGGTCAGCTCTCCAGAAAACAAGGAAGGGAGATCTCTCTGTTCAAGGACCCGGTCATTTCCAGCTTCACAGACCCACCAACTAGACAGTACAGAACTTGTCCGTAGCTTCCCCAATACCCGCAGGCTCTCTACAGCGTGAAGTCAAAGAATCGAGACAGTGGACAGGACAGAATGCGACACCACAAGCCTCTCGAGGGAGAGAGCTGCGCTTGCACAGACATACATCCCAACAGTCTCGACCTTGACTTTGCTGACGAACCCATCATCCATCTCTTGAACTTATGTGTCATCAAGCTTAGAGGCAACAGGCTGCGACTACATTTCTTCCAAAGCTTATATGGTCAGATCTGAAAAGCCTACCCTGTCAAAATCCAGTGTATCTAATACCCAAAACAGGGCATGTATAAAGAGTGATATAATATGCCACTGTGCAGGAACACACATCTGACAACAAGCAAAGGCAATGCAGTCACAGCCTAGAACACGCTCAAAACTTCTGACACGCGAGTTCATGACAGAGATGATGAACCAATTCCCAAAATCCAGTTTAGATGAAGCATTATATTAACAAAAGGGCTATTTTCGTTTTTTAAAAATTTTTTGCATTAGGGACGGACGGTGCGTTTAAGATGCAGCGTTGACAATTTCCACAAATTCTGGCTTGAGTGAAGCTCCGCCCACCAGAAATCCGTCAATGTCTTCTTTCTTGGCCAGTTCTTTGCAGTTGGAACCCTTCACAGATCCTGGGGGCAGCCAAACAAAACAAAAAAAAGGTCAGAGTCAACCAGGAAATGATACTACTTCTTTTCAAACTGCAGACAGATTTAATTTCTTACCTTGAGATTGAGCATGATTTATTTCTCATAACAAATTCACAAAAGAGTGACTTTACGGAAAACTATAAAATAAAAAATTATTTGTTCACAGTGTAGCTAGTATTAAAATAAAAGGACTGGACAAAACTCACCGTGGGCAGTATTGCATACAGACGTATCTCAAAGGCTGCCAAAAATGATTTAATAATAATAATAATATATAACATTTATATAGCTCATTTCCAAAAAAGTAGCTCAATGCGCTTTACATTGGAATACCCATTTTTCTAAACCTTTCTTACTACTTCCCTTTCTTCTCATGCAATATATATTAATGCAGACTATTTTCATCCAGATATAGGAACAGAACAACTATATAATGAAAAATAACGTTAAAAGCTTATGAAGGATAGGCCTGTAAGAACAGAAAATGTTTAAGATGTCTTTTGAAGCTTTGCGTCTGTATGCAATACTGCCCGCGTCGCCTTCCACGTAACCAACTGCTCCCAACCCCACTAGGTCAACTACACACACAAAACCCCACTAGGTCAACTACACACACAAAACCCCACTAGGTCAACTACACACACAAAACCCCACTAGGTCAACTACACACACAAAACCCCACTAGGTCAACTACACACACAAAACCCCACTAGGTCAACTACACACACAAAACCCCACTAGGTCAACTACACACACAAAACCCCACTAGGTCAACTACACACACAAAACCCCACTAGGTCAACTACACACACAAAACTCCCTTAGGTCTTGGGGAAAGGTAGCAGGTCCGTACTATTATATTGAACGTCCAATGCATACTGCCCCCCCCCCCCCCCCCCCAAAAAAGACAAAAAAATCCAATATCTAAACCCAATCAAACTTGAGACACTGTTCTAAAAATAACCCCTGCCTGAGAGACGGGGCATAACTTGGTACTGTTTCAGTAAAAGTTTTACGGCACTTGCAGCACAATAAGGTCATATAAGTGCCGAAGATTAGAGGAGTTACAAGAGAGTAACAAACACAAAAAAGAAGGTGGAGAGATCAGGATGACAGATACTTTGACAGGAAAGAAGAAGAAAACAACACTAGAGCACCATCCGCCAAAAAAGAAGGAGGAGTGACTAGGACAATAGATGTTTGATAGGAAAGAAGGAGCAGACCACATCAGGACACCCGCCAACCACCCACTAACTTGGTACAAAAATCAAACAATATCCAATTGGAATTTAGATGCCTCTGTACAGAGATCGCGACCTCAGTGCTTTCTTGTAGTATCTCCATTTTTTCAAACAGTGAGACTTCTTACTAAGCTCACTCTTTGTTAAGAGCTGTTTTCACTGTCCCTATTACAAATGGAGACGCGACAAGAAAGCACCGAGGTCGCCAGATAATACAAAGCAGTGCCGTGCTCTTCTCACCTCCGTAGATGATGCGAGTCTTCTTGGCGACATCCGCAGACACGGTGTTCGCCAGCCAGGCGCGGATCTTCTCGTGCACTTCCTGCGCCTGCTCGGGCGAGGCTGTCTTGCCGGTGCCGATGGCCCACACAGGCTCGTAGGCGATGACCACCTTGCTCCAGTCTTCGATCTTGTCTGCACGTGACCAGAGGGAAACAGACGATACAGTGACCGGCACACGGTTATACAGATCAAAAGTGGTACTTCTGGAAGTGGCATGCTGACAACCAGAGTTTCGTTTTTTTTTAGTTTGTTTAAGTATGAGTTTTGCGGCTATCGCAACTGCACAAGGCCAATTTTTTGTTTTAGTTACAAGTTTTACAGCACTTGTAACACATATATATAAATCATTTAAGTCCTAAAGATTAGAGGTGTTACTAAAGACTAACATACAAAGAAAAGAAGGGACAGAGAAGGACGACAGATGTTTGACAGGAATGAAGGAGCAAATCACACCAGAGTGACCGCCGCCAACTGCGGAGAATCAGACACTTCAAATAAAAATTCATTAGCATAAGTCGATCAAAGTCAGAAATCTTCCTCTTCAACAAAGATTACACGCTACACATCAACTTGCTGGTGTTCTGTTAGGTTAGGTACCAGAAGAGGTGGAAAGACTTATATCGGTCAAGACAATACAGTGACCGGCACACAGTGATCGGTCAAGAAAAAATGGCAGATCCTATCAGTATCAGAGATGAAGAGTTTTAAAAAGCAACGCCAAAAATCTCAATCTGAAATCAAAATGTGAAAGCAACTAGGCCTAAAAACCTACCCAACACACATGTCGACCTGGCATAGGGAGCAAAATAATACATGTAAAATTTCAACTCTGTTATCCAACTTGTGGGAAATGAAAATTCTTATCGGTCCCAGCAAAATATGGTCAGACTTCTACATTACAAACATAACACTGTTACGATTTAAAAAGCCCAGCTGAGAATCAATGTCACTTATACTGTTTTAAAATTACATTGGGCCATTTCTAAATGAATTACAACAAAAGGAAACTTTCAAATCTTCCCAGCGTACTCACCAGCGATGGCCTTCATTTGCCTGTTGATGACGTCCATGGTCTGGTTGGCCTCTCTCTCCTCCAGCTTCTCGCCGACACACGGGACCACGCCCAGACCGCTGTCCAGGGCAAACCGCGTCTTCTGGGCCACCAACTGCCGAGACATAAACCACAAACAACCGCATGTTATCGTCAATTGACAGACCTCAGCCGACGGCTGACATTTTGCGGGTGGTTGGAGAGTGCCACTGGCAGGTTCAGGTCCACATCATGTACAGACAGTATAACCCGGATAGGTCGAACACAGAAGACTTGAAATCTGCCGTTCCTTTTTTTAAAAAAATCTTTGTAAGATATTCCTCGAACTACGGATCCTTCGGATTACCGAGGGCGGTCCCAACGAATTCGAGCTATCTGTGTTATACTGCACTTCCTTTCTTCTTTTTCTTTCCCTCTGTTGTGTCTGTCTCAGTCTGTCTTGCTCCTTCCTTCCACTACTGTAGGACCATTATTGTGTTGGTGAGCTTCTCTTTACTCAAAACTCAAGTTAACATTTCCACGAAACCTTAACTGACTAAAGGCATTCATAAGTCATAGACATTACATTCCCTGCTTTGTTGCAGGAAGTTTAGTTTGAAATATGTAAACATGATTCTCAGCATTAAATAGATTCTTCTCAATTTAAGAACATAAATTTTTAAAATAACAAAACATGGAATAGACAAATCATCGATACCTATTATAAAGATAATGTGCAAAAGAAACAAGGGACATAGTCTATTAAATTAGAGATCCTTTCAAGATAACACAAACGTGTGTGATAAACAAAGTCTGCTTTATGTGGGACCACAGAGGACAGAAGGGTTATTTCAGACAGTACTTTTCACGATGGCACTGATTTATTTTCCAACCATTATGCCAGCAGTAACTTCCCTTGATTTTCTTCCGTATCTCTCTTATTTCTCGTTAATTCAGTTTATTCGAAGTATGGACATGTTGAACATATAATTGTCAAACCCTGACGTGTTCGAGTCGGTTCACGACTGCCTGTATGTCGACAAACTTTGTAAGCATTCCTCATGAAAGGACTCCGTTTAATGACTGTATAATCTTCCTCCTTTTTTTAAACCTGACTTTCTAAAAAGAGAGTGGCCTCTTTCAAGGTTCCAATTCCCCCGAATGTCTCTGTAGTGCAGACGTGAAAAATACAAAACAGTTAAACAAATCTACAATCAAGGATGCACATAGCGAAATCGTCAGGACACGGGAAACTTTTTGCCATGAACAAGTTTCGCTGCATACATGTTTCAAATACATAGAATATATATATATATATACATGACTAAGAACAAATTTGGGCCCAGAAAACTTGGATTTGTTATGTGTGTGTCTTGCTATATATGTGAGTGTTGACTATGTGCATGCTAGACTGTATCTAGATAATATATATTTTTTAACTCTTTATCTCCGGCAAACCGTTCCAAGCGGCTCGCGGTCGGAATCGCTGTGCTGGTGAGCCGCTGACAGTAGCTCGGGCACATTCCGCTACGACGACTTCAACGTCAAATTACTTTTCAGAAATTAAAAATATCTCTCTTTTATCGGGATTTCGGTGAGTAGATGAAGAACTATCTAAATAGGTTCACTTGTTGAGATTTAACAGCCAATTTAGTGACGTCTTCGTCATTTTTAGGTTTACTACCAAAAAGAGGCCTCCTCATAGTGGGTTTACCCCCCACAGAGATAAAGAGTTTCAAAGACCATACCTCGTCCGACTCTCCCATGATGTGCCTCCTCTCAGAGTGACCTGTGATGACCCATGTTGCACCCAAGTCTTTCACCATCAAGGGGCTGAGAGGGGAATATTGAAGAGAAAAAAATATACAATTAATAAATGCCCTTCTGGAATTGCATGAAATTATTACCTCATACAAGTACAACAGACAATAACAACAAAAATCAAATGGGATACATAGAAGGGGTCTTTGCAAAGTTTACGGGAAACAAAAATTGTCAAGGAATTATGGGTAGAAGTAGAGGTTAGAGAATAAACGAAGACAAAAAAAAGTTAGAAGGAGCATCCATCAATGTTACCATCCAACCACACAGCACTCAAAGGAACTTGGGTCTGACAAAATGAACTAGAGACAGGGTACTTAACTTTTGTAACAGAGCACTGGGTTGGGTACTTAAACAAGACACATCATACTATTAAAACATTAATGGTACAAACAAGATTTGTTTTGTTTTAAGTTTGACCCCGTCAGCCCTCTTGCTTCAGCTTCAGGTGTGCCTGCGTGTGTGTCATGTGTGTGTGTGTGTGTGTGTGTGTGCGTGTGTGTGTGTGCGTGTGTGTGTGTGCGTGTGTGTGTGTGTGTGTGTGTGCATGTGTACCTGATTTCTCCTGTAAAAGCACCAGATTTTTCTGTGTAGCAATTCTGAGCAGCTACTTCCACATTTGCAGGCAGACCATCTCGGCTGTATTGGATGTAGCAATATGGTGGGGCCACCACGATATCTGAAGAAGGAAAAAAAAATCGAAAACACAAATGATTATAATGAAGTTCGACACTCTGCTTCCCATCATCCACTCAAGTAGCCTGCACACTCACTACAGAGATAATACAGCAGGATGCTGAAAAAATGATGGATTATTTCTTTTAACTTAGGTCTAAAAGTGAACCAGGAGAGAGGGGTGGTGGTGTGGCGACTGCTATTCACTCTTAAAGGAAGGCCTTTTTTTCATTGAAAGCATGACAAATATTGACAATAGAAATAGACAGGCTTTAAGGTGACACTGGTCTATAACTCTAGCTCAAAAAATGACGAGCACCTGATTCCACCGTGTCGTGACAATGGCCTACAAAACTATAGGTTAACACTTAAGTTAAATTATTATGACAAATAACATGAATTGGCTTGGGGTTTGTAAAGAACTGCGCACTGTTGTTGATGTGACCGTTCTGCATGATAATAGTAAGGGTAATGTCTTGCTCTGTTCATAATTAAAATTTCTGAGATAGATAAGCAATTATCATGTTCATACATCCCGATTTCTAGAATTTATTCCTCATGGCTTTCCTTCTCCTAAATCAAAGTGGGGGTGATGGAGTCACGTTGTGGAGTTTCTCCCAATAGTTGTGGCCAGGTTTTTTCACCGGACTGGGGATAAAAAGGTGGCTTATCTTTTTTTTTTCTCACTATTAACCTATTAAGATATGATCATGAATGATCATGGTGGAATTTTTCCCTGTAAGTGTAAGTGACATAACTGATAACACAGCTCTGTCTGCTACTCGACAGCACTGTATATTATTAGAAAAGTAGGCCTAGATTTTTTATACATCTTGATCGAGAGGTAACAGGTTGTTGGTTTCAACAGAATTCAGTAGGCTAACTGTTTGTAAATCAAATTTCAAAAACACAAGTGACGAATCTTCAACAAAGTACAAAGGGACAACCTGTATCTAAAACATTTATGAGCAAAAGTTCCATTTCTTTCATCAGCCACTGCAGTGAAAGTGACCAGTGAAGTGCATCTTATTTCTTTCATCACAGTCAATGAAACGCATGAATTTTTTTTATCAGTAATAGAAAGGCATGTCTGTTTCAACTGTCAAGTGAAGCCCAGGGGAGCACTATCTTCTTTTTTGCTTTTTTCGAACTCGTACGTGAGGAAAGCCGCGTACGTTAGCACTGTGTATTAGACAACTCACCAGTGTTGCTGTTCAGAGGGCCAGTCTTCATGAAGGCAACAATATCATCAATGGACTTTTTATCGCCATTCATTTTCCAGTTACCCCCAACAAAGAATTTGCGGTCGCCAGGCATGATGATGAGCTGTTTCTGGTTATAGGATCAACCGGGTTTAACGTAATAACGGAGTTTGTTCTTCCTGGGGTAGGCCTTCAGTCTGTCAGTGGTGATCTGATCTGTGAAGCGGAGCTACCGGTAGGTTACGTCCTTGAATTTCAGGGCAGGGTCAAGGATGAAGATGAGGTCAATATTTCCGTCACTTGTAAAGCTAGTACAAATACTTGTTTGGCATACAAAAACAATTTGATCTACTTTATGCTTACACATCATTGTATACAGTCATTCTTATTCATCTCTCTCTGTTTGATGGTTTTCTCAGTTTATTTCAACCTTCAAATAGCATAATTAGTTATTCTAGATATTTTTTTTCATTTCATATTATTATGTAATTTCTTGTTTTTGTTTTATTTCCCGCGAAAATCTAATATTTCCAGTTTTAGCGGTGTTCTGTTTACTTTCGCTGATAATATGAACGATACTGTTAGGGCTAATTTTCTGCAGTATCAAAGAAAAAGAAACCCAAAAAAAAGAGGGGGGGGGGTGCTTTTTCAAAGTAGCCTATTCTATCTTTGCTTCAATCTTTCTCTCTTTTTTGTGTTAAAAGTTTATCTATGTTATATGATTTCCATTTTCCGTCCGTTCTAAATAAATACCAAATAACGGTAATTATGGAATAAGTAAAGAAATCGTACTATATTGAATTGCCAACGATTTTAAAAGTTTCAGAATTGAAATGAGCGTGCAAACTGTGCAATTCTGATCAATGTAGTACGATTTCTTTACTTATTCCTTAATTACCGTTATTCAAAGATAGGAACATATGGTCACTGGTCACAAATTTTAACCAAAGAAGCAATAGAGCATCTACAAGTACAACTATATCATTCGCAAAACCACAAATTTGTATCTGACATGATTGGTCGCTGTAATGCAATTATCATGATCATGATCGACGTAGGCCTTCTTCGGTCTGCTCCTGAATTTGATCGCACTGGTCTAGACAATTTTTCAAATAGTATCTGTTTTTCGGCTTGAACATCACATTTATAGAGATTTTGGGACACGAAAATGATATACTGACATTTCACGCTTAAATATATATCACGCTTTCATATCTTACAAGTATATAGGCCTAATCAATAGGCTGTGACTCCGTATTGGTGGTTACTATACGTATTTGACTCGTTGTTTCTTCGCTCCGGTGGAGTACACCCCTTGTATTCAAATTCTGGTACTTCTTGTAACTAACCAACAATCTTGCTGCCATGAGCTGACAGAAAAAGCTCCATGACATCGCTGGAGCCTACCTTGATCTCGAGTAGCCCAAACCAGTCACTAGCAGAAACGATAGCTCGACGAAATTGTTCCCCATGTTTATTACTCAAGCTCCGTATTATTTTTCATTAGACCATCCACATCATTATTACGTATGCAACCAGGTTGTAGCCTACTTCATTATAATCAATTGCCAAAAATCCGTTTCACGATTTCTTAATGTGCTCTCCCTTACACTGTCAACAATTAATAAAGTTCCATAGCTGGAGCTCATAAATTCAGCCTTACGATTTGGCAGCTCAAATGTCTGAGAATTAAGGTCGCCCACAGTCCATACCTGATCATATCTGAGGTACGTTCTTGCTTTAATAAAATAAGTGAAAATAGGGTTTATTTGCTGCTGATGCTTAAGTCTGTTTTTCAGGCCAGGCTCATCATCTCATACTACATTCAATTTTGAGTAAACTAAATTATAATTATTATTTGCTATTCTGATTTCCATTAAAAGTTCTTTTCTAACTTGTTGCACAACCGACATATTACATGATAACAGTCGCTGAAATTCGTCGGGACCGGCCTCGGTAGTTCGAGGGATCCGTAGTAGTTGGAGGGATACGTGAACAGTGTTATATTCTGCTGTGTCTGAGAATCAAGGGAGGTGACAATAAAGAGGGGGTAGGTAGGAACAGAGATTTTTTTTTCGATCATTGTCTCAGATCAGATAGGTTAGGTATATTATGCTTGTTGGCTTGAATTTGAAATCTGAGAGAATCTGAAATTGACAGATTGGGAATGAGAAACACAAAGAGTACATGTAACGCCTTTGAGTACGATCGGTACCGATAATGAGCCTACCGCGGTATCAAGACAATTTAATTTCGCAGGTCAGTGTGAGCGGTCTTTAGTCTGCACCAATCGAACGGTGCCTTTTCAAAATTTTCAAAACATAAACAATTTGACAAGTTAACGCTTATATATATTATATTGCAACAGTAATCAACAACGGATGACGAAACAATGCAGCCCTACCCGGCCTCTCTCACCAAGCGCTAAGTCCTTTGCAAAGAGGGGTGGGGCGGCCGATCGTGTGATCATCAAGCAAGCACAGCCCCTCCTCTCTCCCGCTCCACACAAGCAGGCCTTGGACCTTATAGTTATAGGCACGCGCAGAGACCGTATATCATTGGGCACGCGTGTCGAGCAGTGCGCTAAAAATAGCACAGCTAGCTGCTTATGTGAAAGGGGGGTGGGGGTGGGGGGGGGGGGTGTTTTACCGACCCTACTTTTTCCGTTTTTATTATTACTATCATTATTATTAGCTTGTGCACCTCAAAGGACATTGACTTCAGACCTCTTCGGCGGTGTAATTAGTTCGACTATTTCGTGTTTGTGTCGACATTAGCGATATTTTCTTACAAAAGATTTCGAGTAATCCGTGTTCGACCTATCCGGGTTATACTGTATAAAAAAAACACCAAAAAACCCCAACATGTATTATATATAATTATGTAGTTGTTTTCGGAATGGCATGCGTGATCTCCACCAAACCATTAGCACAGGAAGAGGCATTGACACCCCCCCCCCCCAACCCCCCATTTGGAGAAGGTTTGTGACACGGGCACTCATGCAGCCTACGTGATGAAACAAACTTTTGTGTTTGTCACCAACTTTGCATCTGTAAGAAACAGCGAAGGCCTTTTTAAGTTTGATTCTGTTTTCCTTTATGCAGTAATAAAAGATACATGTATATCTATAATATAGGCCTCCGCAGATACATGATATATTACACAAATTGCCTAGAATTTTTACCCAATGATATGCATTGAGTGAAGTAAGCTGTTTCTGGTTCTGAAACACTCTGTATTTTTTTGAGTGAAAATACAGGTCACCATGAACTGTCCATGGCGCATTGACGGTGAGGAGTGGGACGCGGATAGCCTATTAAATTAGGGGAGGGAAGCGGGTGGGCGAAACGCGACATCGGGGGGCTCGACAGTCGGGTTTCAGTGACGTTGTCTGATTGTTTGTTGACTTTCACCTTACTAACTGTTGTGAGTATGAGAAGGCGAGAAAAGGGGAGAGAGGCGCAAGGTGTCGTGGTCAAGAGGTAATTTTTAAGGTCTTCGCCTCTTTTCATGCAACAGGTCCCGGTTTGAATCCAGACTAAGCAGCGACAACGAGAGAGAGAGAGAGAGAGAGAGAGAGAGAGAGAGAGAGAGAGAGAGAGAGAGAGAGAGAGAGAGAGAGAGAGAGAGAGAGAGAGAGAGAGAGAAAGAAGGGGAGAGAGGCTCAAGGTGTCGTGGTCAAGAGGTAATTTTTAAGGTCTTCGCCTCTTTTCATGCAACAGGTCCCGGTTTGAATCCAGACTAAGCAGCGACAACGAGAGAGAGAGAGAGAGAGAGAGAGAGAGAGAGAGAGAGAGAGAGAGAGAGAGAGAGAGAGAGAAAGAGAGAGAAGGGGGGGGGGGGTGTCATCAATTTGATATTGGTCTACTGAACGCAAAGATCGTGTAGTTGTAGGCTAAAAGTTCGATTGGCAGCATTTCAAATTCTGGAATAAGATTCTACTTTCGTTTACGCAACAGTGTAGGCTACTGCCACACTGGCCTTTTCTTGCAATAAACAGGTTGTATAAATGACACATTGATTTAGTCTATTATGCTTTTAATTTTTTTATTTGGCACAGATTTTTCATTCATAACTGATCAAAATCATAATGAGATTATATATCGTCCACACAGTAGTAAAAAACACTGTCAAAAACTCGAAAACTGAATAGGCCTAGCGTTTCATATGATTTTGACTGTCCTTCTGGACAAACCACTGGCAGATCCGGCTCCGAGTAACGGCCTCCTGGCCTGTCCGGCCAATTGCCAAGCCAGTATTGGTCGTTGTTGACCCTGTCCTTGTGGCTTAGCACTTCGCAGACTTGTGAAAACTTGTGTTGCATCAACACATCAATGCGTGACCAAGTCTAGACTAGAGTCTAGCCTTTAGAAGAATCGCTGGTCACGGTGAGAGACTTCTTATCAGACAATAAATCTAGATTTTCGCGGAACGAGCTGTTTACCGCCCACTTCTTTTAGTTGAGCCTTCCTTCTTCCCTTCCTCTCAGCCATCAATCGAAAACAAGGTAAACCGCCTCTCTAAATTAAATTATATTCTAATGATTTTGTTACATCCAAGTTATTCTAACATGTGATCTAGATCTAGAATCTAGATTTAGATCTAGATTCTAGGTGCTCTTTGGAAATTGCCTTACCGTTTGTTGGCAGCACTCGGTCAACCCAGTGTACTACAATCATCATACAATGACAATTGCGGTCCCATTTGGAGATACAAGACACTCCAACAATTAGGGTAAACTGTCCCAATTCCGAACCCATTTTCGCCAGCCTAACTTTGTGTACACGAAACAGCCCTCTAAACTGCCCAACCCGCGCCGTTTTTGTAATCTACTATTATAGTAACATCATCATGGTTGATTGGTTTTAACTGGTTCCGTCCATTCGGCCGCTGACAGTGGCTCTAAGATTTTTCGCTTCGTCCTTTCGACCGCTGTGAGCGGCTCAACGAAATCCGAAACAAATGTGCATGCCACCAACCAGATTTGGGATGGCAAGAGAAGTGATGGGTGGAAGTGGAAGTGCCAGAATAGAGTTTATAGAGCCTGCAGAAAGGATGTATCGATCAGGGATGGGAGCTTTTTAGGTACAGATTCGAAACTGGAGCTTTTAAGCATGTTCTGGACTTGCTCTACTGCTATGCCTACGAAACCGCATGGGTCCAGAACTTGGCCAGGGAATGCAGGATGGCTTCAGAAGCGATCGTAAACTGGAGAAACTATGTGCGAGACATTTTTGCCGAATACTTCATCCGACACCCTTTGACCATTGGTGGCCCTGGCCACGTGGTTGAAACTGATGAATCTGCCTTCGTAAAGAGAAAAGGCAATGTCGGAAGGAGAGTGAACACTCAATGGGTTTTCGGTGGCATTGACGTGCATACGAAGCCGGGATTTCTTGTAGCAGTTCCCCAACGTGATGCAGCAACCCTTCTACCAATTCTGCAACGTTACGTTCTGCCCGGAACAACTGTCGTATCTGATCTATGGGCAGCGTACAACACTGTCCACACTCTCGGATATCAACATTTAACCGTTAACCACAGCCTCCACTTTGTGGACCCTCACACCCACGCAACCACCAACCACGTGGAATCCATGTGGAGTCGGGCAAAGCAGAGAAACAAGTGAGAGTGTGGCACTTTCAGAACCCAGCTCGATTCCTATCTAATTGAATTTATGTGGAGGCAGCAATTTAACAATAACCCTTTTGAAAACCTGCTGACTCACATGGGTATGTACTCACTGTAAAAAAAATATGCTAGTGTTATTTTATGTACCCTTTTATGTATGTGTGTGAGTGTTTGTGTGTATTATGTGTTATATATATATTATATACATATATATAAATATATGTATGTGTATATATATATATCATGTATATATATGTGTGTGTGTGTGTGCAAGTGTGTGTGTATATTGTGTGATTATTTGTATAAATATATGTGTGTGGGTGTGTATGTGAAAACAAAAACATCATAATTATCGAAGTTCAATAAAATGTTAATGGTACCGGTATGCATTTCTTCATTTCATTTATGTCTGTCCCTCTTTTAATCATCTTTGAATCTCATTTTCATCATCATCTCTCTCTCTCTTTCTCTCTCTCTCTCTCTATCTCTCTCTCTCTATCTCTATCTCTCTCTCTCTCTCTCTCTCTCTCTCTCTCTCTCTCTCTCTCTCTCTCTCACTTATATCCCTCTTTCTCTCTTTAAATCATCTGTCTCTCTATCAGTATCTCTCTCTCTCTCTCGCCCTCTTTTACTTTTAACTGTCTCCCTTTTAATCTCTTTCTCCCTCCACCCCCTCTCTCTCCTTAATTATGTCTGTCTCTCTTTTAATTATCTTTGACTCTCTTTTAATCACCCTCTCTCTCTCTCTCTCTCTCTCTCTCTCTCTCTCTCTCTCTCTCTCTCTCCCCCCCCCTCTCTCTCTCTCTCTCTCTCTCTCTCTCTCTCTCTCTCTCTCTCCCCTCCTCTCTCTCTCTCTTTCTCTTTCTCTCTCTCTCTCTCTCTCTCTCTCTCTCTCTCTCTCTCTCTCTCTCTCTCTCTCTCTCTCTCTCTCTGTGTCTCTCTCTCTCTTAACTGTTTCTCTTGTAATAATTTGTCTCTCTCGCTCTCTTTCTCTCTCTCTCTCTCTCTCTCTCTCTCTCCCTTCGATCCCTCTTTCTCTCTTTAAATCATCTGTCTCTCTCTGTCTCTCTCTCTCTCTCTCTGTCTGTCTGTCTCTCTCTCTCTCTCTCTCTCTCTCTTTCCCTCTCTCTCCCTCCCTCTCTCTCTCTCTCTCTCTCTCTCTCTCTCTCTCTCTCTCTCTCTCTCTCTCTCTCTTTTCTCACCTCTCCCTCTTAGAGGGATCTGGAATGTGATTGTGACGATCGTAATAAATGAATGTTAGATCTAGTAACTAGTAGTACTAGTAGTCTTATAATTTTATTCACAGAAGGGCGCGGTAGCGTCAGGAGGTCCTACACAACAACACAACGTTAACAAAGTCAAACAACAAAACAACGTTAACAAAGTCATTAACAACAAACAGCATTATGTCCAAACAATCTAGGGCTAGGCCAAGACGACGATGCTCGACTCTAAAGGCCTATCGATTACTGAACAGAACAGGTGGAAACACCGCCCGATTACTACCGATCCAAGATGGCGGCCAGGCCCGGCCTGGGGTAACAGACGAAAAAGTGCCGAATTGAGGGGTAGGTTTAGGGTTTGGGGTAGGGTTAGGGTTTGGGGTAGGGTTAGGGTTAGACCTCTTCTTTATTGTGTTTGATGGGGTGGTCGCTCATTACTGAAGTCCTTCCCTCCGCGAAATTCTTGCAAAAATCGTTGTTTTGTTGTCCATGTAGGCTAGATCTAAGGGTAAATAACACGGAGCCTGGTATAAGAAAAAGGCCCTTCAAAGAAAGATTCTACTAATTTTGTGAAATTCTGGCATAAATGTCTGCTGGGGTGATATCGCTACAATTTTGTGTTAATTCCTATGGAATGGACTAAGCGCTAATCACCGCATGTAATCATGATACCGGCTAGGGGTTGGAACCACTAGAAAAAATCACATCAATCTGCTGTTACCGGGGAAAAACAACCCCAAATCGCCCTCCTCTAACTCGGAGATTGCGGAGAGATGTACATTTAGATAATTAGAATAAGACGTAGTTGGTCATGTTACATTGTTAGCTCTGTAGATGAGTAAGACTGAAGTTTTGAGGGTAACTTAACTTTCACTGCCTCACAGAGGCAAATGGACTACTTAGAGGTTGATGGTCAAACTGCAGTTTTGGGGGGGGGTTTTTTGGAAGTGGCTATCCTCACCCGGGGTGAGAATAAAAATACAATTGACCTCTCACCCCGGGTGAGACTTGCCACCGTAGGCTATTCTCACCTGGTGTGAAACAAGACCTGTTTTTCCTAATTTCGGAATGTACTTTCTATCGGTGTGGATGATCAAATTGATAAAAGCAAAGAAAAAATTACGTTATAATAGCACAAAAGTAAGCTAATTTGATCGTCTACAAAGATACTATGGCTATTTCACTTTTTGAATCGAGCCGGACTACGCGGGTCGCCATTTTGTTTTGCCCGGAAGTTCGCGCGCTACTCCTCTCTCTTTCTCTCTCTCTCTCCACTGCCCACAGACAAAATTGTACGCTTTTAGGCTAACAGAACAGTAGTAATGGAACGTTTGTTCACGGCACAGAATTCTACAATTTTTCCTTTATCACAGTGTAGAATTCTGTGGTTCAGGGTGAACGCAAAATTGGTTGGCCTAGATCTAGGCTCTAACGGTGAACGCGCACCGGGTGAGAATAGCTAAAAGACTCGCCTGCGCTATTCTCACCCGGGGTGAGAATAGAGGTGGCCATATATTTTTTTTCCTGCAGACTCCAGATCATTTAAGTTTTAATGATATGGCCACTGAAACTTGCAAATCAATTATTTTCAAGATTTCATACCTAGTTGCAAAGCATCAAAAATAGAAAAACAGGGGCGCATGCCACCCCGAACTATTTTTCGCCTGAAATCCGTGGTCGAAGTTACCAGACCTACACTATACACTAGAGTGTGATGTAGCCTAGTTTGAATAAAAGCCATCGAATATTTTAAAAACTTAATTTGCAACAAATAGTTTTATATTAAAAAGTCAGTATTCGTTGTGTAAGATGGATAAAAATGAACAAAGAAAAGGCCTTAAAAGGGTTATGACCTGTTGCAAATGTAGCATTTGCTTACAAACTTGTAAAGTATGGGAAGGATGTGTCACTTGAAAAAATAATGGTACCTTTGTGTATTGTTTGTTCCATAAACTTTACTGGTTTGGAATTTCTTTTCAGTACCACCATATTGTATCGTGGACGAGAAAAGAGATGACGAGAAGATCATCTCGAAGAGTCCCTGGCAAGACGGACGATGCTCCTTGCAAGACGGACGATGCTCCTTGCAGCAGTGAGACGGTCTTTGTTACCTCGCTTCCAAAAAATGCGGTCGCTTCTAATACACCACGCAGCAGAAGTGTTGGAGGTCAGAACATGAAGACCAGAAAACAAAAGGATGAGACAGAAGGTTGTGTTTCTGGTTCTGGGGAAACCCGGCGACTATCGAGGCGAAGTGGAGGTAAAAAGGGAGGGAAAGAATCAAAAAGCGTGGTATCCACAGAGTGTAATACTTGTGTAGAAACTTCAAGCAATCAGGGAGATGCAGCGCAGAGACTGCAGACTTCTGGTTATGATGCAAATGGCAATGTGATGATGCCATCTTCTGAGACTTCACTCAAGCTGAAGGATTCCCCTGATGATTTCTCTCTGACATTTGAAGACTCCAAGGAAAAGAACCCGTTCAGTTCGTTGTCCGTCGCAGACGTGAAACCGTCGTATTGGCCCAAAGTGTACGACACCAGCACCAATGTCTTCCACTACGTGAACAACCTGAGTATGGGAAGGATGTGTCATTTTAACAGACAGGTACATAAAAATGTGGGAAACCTGCCTTTGAGGGGGGGAGATTCCTTTTTTAATTTTTTATTGGGAAAAGTGTTTTTGTTTTCTGTTGCAGCTCATTTGTTTGAAGAAATGACTAGATTTGAAGTGTCTATGTTCATCATGTTTATATCATGTTCTATGATTAAAATGTAGTTCCACCCCCCAGGGCAGTGCCACTGACTGTAGTGTCTTTAGGCCATTTCCAAAGGGGGGGGGGGGCATTTCTGGTTCAAGCATAGTAGAAATGTAAATGGGCTGACTCATGTCACGCTCATAACTGTGCCTGATCTACAACAGGGAATTGCTGCTTTTTCTTTCCTGATCCTTACTATTGTCATTTATTTTCCTCTACTTTTGTATGTTTGTCACTCTCTTGTGACCTGCTATTTCCGGGGTGCCTTGATAGTCGAAACAGACCGTGTGCTGTTGAAGCTAGAGAGGTGAGCAGTCTAAGTCTGATTCCCTGTAAAGACTTCTCTGTTGACACCCACCCTTTGGCGCTCATATGATCTTATGCAGTTGTGAGCGCCGTAAAACCCTCTACAAAAAAAAAAAAATGTAGTTCAAGATGTCTTTCTGAGACGTTTAGTCCTTCGTGGCGACTCAGCAACCGACATTTCTTCTTAAAAATGCCATTTGAATTGTTTTGTTTCACTGCTTTAAGGGGGTTCTTGAACCTGTTCTGAACTTTGATAACATTTTAAACATTAACATTGTTTTAGATGCAGATTTAGAAAAGATCTTCAATTGCTTCTTGCTATTGTGTGATGAAAAAGTGAATGAAAGGGTTATTATTTTTAGAATTAAAAAGTCAAGAATACAAATATCGATGGTAAAGACACAGTTGTCTCCCGCTAATAGCATGCTGACGACAGTGCCGGGGCGAATTTTCCTTGTGTAAACTATAATTGTACTTGCAAGTGCGAGTTCCAAATTGGCAAACTGTAACCTGTCGTTCCTGGGCCAGTGTCAGAAACAGATGAACCATAAAATGACTCATTTCTCTTTGATCGGAAGGAAGCAAAGTGAACATCACATGGTATGCCCTCACCACATGACCTCCTAATAATACTACTTGAAATTGCCACTTTGCCAAGAGGGGACAATGTGTGCGACAGAATTTCTGGAAATCTGAATTTCTGAAATCGTCCAGATTTTTTTAACTTCTTGACACAAAATGTACATAAAAAATTATAATAATGGTGGTCCGTACATTTTGTGTCCCTGAGCATGTTTCCACGGGGTTTAAACATGAACAGTTCTGGATTTTTTGCCCCTAGCTAAGCAGCACCTCTGCGTGATTAATGATGAAAAAATGAGTTATAATTATAATTTTAGGTTTTCCATAATATAAATCCGTTGATGGTTTTTTTGTTTGAAGCCTGAGGAACTTTTAAAGCAAAAACGACCCCTCTGATATGGTGAGGGTGGGGTGGGTGTCATATTTCAGAAATGTTTTGCTATGTGAAAGACATTTTAAAAAGTTTGTCTGCATTTCTAGATTTTACATATTCTTCTAAAGACAATTTTTCCCCCCCTCTTAGGCTGTTGAAGAGACTTACATTAGTTCTCGGCTTGACAGTTTTGAGATCGTAAATGGAGATCAGCCGTTTAAAACACGTGTGACCACGGTCGACTGGCACCCAAAGCAGACAAACCTTGTGACAGTGGGGAGCAAGCACGGAGATGTTGTGTTCTACAGGGTCGGCCGAGAGGACCACAGTTCCTACTTTGAGGAGACTGGTCGGCTAGATGGGGTGAGGCTCTTGTCCATGGTTGTGTGTGTGTGTGCGTGTGTGTGTGTGTGTGTGTGATTATCACATGTTACTGTCATACGATTTATGAAGTCAGTCCCGCCTAAATCCTTTTTCTGAAAATAACTCCCATACCCTTTGAGACATGTGGTTGGTGGGTGCTCTAGTATGGTTTGCTTCTTCTTTCCTATGGAACATCTATCGTCCTTATCTACCCTTCTTCTTTTTTATGTTTGTTACTCTCTTGTAACACCTCTAATCTTCTGGCGCTCATTTGACCTAATGCAGTTGCGAGCGCCGTAAAACTTCTACTAAAACTAAAAAGACATGATAGAAGCCTCAAATGAACTGCAAAAGATAGATAGTAGACTAAACTTTTTTTCAAATGCGTAAATGTTTCAATTCCCATTCCCTTTTTCTGGCTGGTCAATGATAATCTACTGATCAGTTCTAGTTTTATCTTCTTCTTTTTCTTCTCCATCGGACTCAACAACTAGACCAGGATGATCTATATTTATATGTGTCATGATGCGTGGAATCAGTTGCTCTACAATTTATGGGCATGTGGAGTGTCATCTTAAAGTTTGTTCATTTGTCTTAAAGTTTCCCTTGTCCTACTTTTTGTGAAAAAAAATACCCCGCTATCTTGAACGGAAGTCGAGATATTTACAATTGAAGTGGGAGGGGTTGCCTGGTTTTAGATGTAAAATAATGATTTAGGTCAAAGCTCGACAGGGAGAGCAAAAAAGTTTCAGTTTCAGAAATCTGGCAAATACGTTGAAAGTCAAAGAACTGTAACCTTGTTACTAGTTCTCTGAACGAAACTAATAACTTGCGTACACGCTGTAAGTGCTTGCATTGTTACTAATAACTTGCGTACACGCTGTAAGTGCTTGCATTGTTACTAATAACTTGCACACGCTGTAAGTGCTTGCATTGTTACTAATAACTTGCACACGCTGTAAGTGCTTGCATTGTTACTAATAACTTGCGTACACGCTGTAAGTGCTTGCATTGTTACTAATAACTTGCGTACACGCTGTAAGTGCTTGCATTGTTACTAATAACTTGCGTACACGCTGTAAGTGCTTGCATTGTTACTAATAACTTGCGCACACGCTGTAAGTGCTTGCATTGTTACTAATAACTTGCGTACACGCTGTAAGTGCTTGCATTGTTACTAATAACTTGCGCACACGCTGTAAGTGCTTGCATTGTTACTAATAACTTACACACGCTGTAAGTGCTTGCATTGTTACTAATAACTTGCGTACACGCTGTAAGTGCTTGCATTGTTTGTTGTTTATATTTAAAGCAAAAGGTAACGCACTTTTCAGTGTCAATCTAAGTATTTCAGCACCAAGATCTTTTCTTGCCCTTGGTTGTTTCAATCTCTCTGGAATTTTCCCTGAACTAAAGGACTGACATGGGTGGTTCGTAGTTGCTCTTGTGTGATTTGACGGTTTGCTCCTTTTTTTTATCCTACATCTATCATCTTGGCTCTCTTCTCTTCCTTTTTTCTCCTACATCTATCATCCTTGGCTCTCTTCTCTTCCTTTTTTCTCCTACATCTATCATCCTTGGCTCTCTTCTCTTCCTTTTTTCTCCTACATCTATCATCCTTGGCTCTCTTCTCTTCCTTTTTTCTACTAAAAAATCTATCATCCTTGGCTCTCTTCTCTTCCTTTTTTTCTCCTACATCTATCATCCTTGGCTCTCTTCTCTTCCTTTTTTTCTCCTACATCTATCATCCTTGGCTCTCTTCTCTTCCTTTTTTTCTCCTACATCTATCATCCTTGGCTCTCTTCTCTTCCTTTTTTTCTCCTACATCTATCATCCTTGGCTCTCTTCTCTTCCTTTTTTTCTCCTACATCTATCATCCTTGGCTCTCTTCTCTTCCTTTTTTTCTCCTACATCTATCATCCTTGGCTCTCTTCTCTTCCTTTTTTTATCCTACATCTATCATCCTTGGCTCTCTTCTCTTCCTTTTTTCTCCTACATCTATCATCCTTGGCTCTCTTCTCTTCCTTTTTTCTCCTACATCTATCATCCTTGGCTCTCTTCTCTTCCTTTTTTCTCCTACATCTATCATCCTTGGCTCTCTTCTCTTCCTTTTTTCTCCTACATCTATCATCCTTGGCTCTCTTCTCTTCCTTTTTTCTCCTACATCTATCATCCTTGGCTCTCTTCTCTTCCTTTTTTCTCCTACATCTATCATCCTTGGCTCTCTTCTCTTCCTTTTTTCTCCTACATCTATCATCCTTGGCTCTCTTCTCTTCCTCTTTTCTCCTACATCTATCATCCTTGGCTCTCTTCTCTTCCTTTTTTCTCCTACATCTATCATCCTTGGCTCTCTTCTCTTCCTTTTTTCTCCTACATCTATCATCCTTGGCTCTCTTCTCTTCCTTTTTTCTCCTACATCTATCATCCTTGGCTCTCTTCTCTTCCTTTTTTCTCCTACATCTATCATCCTTGGCTCTCTTCTCTTCCTTACAAAAAATGGTTTCTTGTGGATGTGCTTCTTTTTACTCAGACTAACTATACTTAAATGTCTCTCTTCAGCACTTGTTCTTCTTTTATATGGAGAGGAATTATAACCTGTATTCCTTGTGTCTTTGCCGGTTCCCTAGCTGGGTCCAGGAGGCTCTGTGTCAGCTCTGAAGTTCCACCCGGAGGAAGAAGAGAAGTTCTACACGGCGTCGCTGTCCGGCCGGGTGTGTCTCTGGAATGCTCACACGGGCAGGGAGGAACGGGAGATGTTCAACACCTTCTCCTGGGAGTGAGTTCTCACATGACCTGCTTTGTGGAAGACACCGCCATATATGCGGATTTGAAAAAATAAAAATAAAAAGAATAAATTACAATTTTATTGATCCTGGAAGGGCAATTTGGTTTACAATGGCAAATATATTTACATATATAAATTCACAGTTGTCAATACATAACATATATAAATACATATATCTTATATATATATATATATATATATATATATCGTCGATGGGATTCACAAACCGGTATATATATATCGTCGATGGGATTCACAAACCGGCATATACATATATATATATATATATATCGTCGATGGGATTCACAAACCGGCTACATGCAGAAAAGCAAATTTTTATACAAAAGGTTAAGTTATAAGTGTTGGGACCACAATCTTTGATTTTTTTATACAAAAGGTTAAGTTATAAGTGTTGGGACCAAATACTACTTGATTTTTCTTAAATACCACAACCGATAGTTATATTTCGCATGTAGCCGGTTATGGAATCACAAAAAATGTGCCGCACAGCCGTGACACGAGGCTGCATGTAGCCGGTTCGTCGCAGCTCTGTGCCACTGTTCGCCGTCATAATAAGTATAGGCCGAGATCTACATGGACGACGGCGAGTTATAGAATTTGAACTAATAGATCTATCTTAATGAAAGCTGACTGGTTCAAACTGGGTTTGAATCTTAACCTGGTCGATTCATACACAAAATGCTTTAGATTAGAATGACAAGTTTAGTGCTTTGACTGGCCCTTTGTTAGTAACCTGGTTACTGGGAGGTGTGGGTTCAAACTTTGTTACCTGTCGATTCATGACGAAAATTTTAATGAATTTAATTTAACATCCTAGATGCCCTCTCGCCTAGTATTTTATCTTAGGTGACCAGTACTAGGAGAAGTCGTCGACCCGGTGTCTGAAGGCCAATACATGTACTTGAACATGTGCAATGGTTAAGGTTCAATGCCCTATCAACACTATTAGGTTATTCAAGAGGAATAGGGGGGGGGGGGGTATATTTGCCCGTGCAGAACTTTGGCTGTACTACGTGAAATATCCCAAAGTGCCAGGTCATCAATTCTTTGACTAGAATTGTTGATAAGAAGACATCTCTGTGTTTACAAAAATATCAAACAAAACCCCAAACCAACACAAATTCAGTTGTTTAAAAAGCCAGGACAAGACTTTTTTTGAGTATTTGTCTGAGAAACCTCCACTTTTGTTCGATATCCCCAAAGGGCAGGGCCTTGGTATGGCAAACGTTGGTCTCGGGGCTCTAATCTGGATCGGGAGGTTATGGGTTCGATTCTCGGCTGAATTATAATAACATTTAAAACTTGGTCCCTTTGCATCTTATTGTATGGGGTGTGATTGAAAGAATATTAGTATCGTTTGATTGCACATAGATGGGCTCATTTCTTCCTGTACACTATCTTTCATCATTTCTCACACTTGAGTTGCTACATTATAATAAACAATGAAACAGTGTAAGCTACATAGAATTCAATGATTGTAAGTCTCTACTTTCCCTATGAGCATTGTTCGGTGCTAGTTAGTTGACAGAGCGTGGTAAAATGGATGGTATTCAACTGGCATGACCTCTTACAACGTTTGGAGATGTTAGTATTTTTCCGTTTTTCATTTTCCTGGAGCTATTGTAGACAGGCGTTGGGTCAACCAGCTCCCACTTTGGTTGGTTTGACCTCTTGGGAGAATTTGGTGGGGCCCACCTCCGTGACTCATCAGGATACACCTCCAGTCCACCACCGAAGAGTCCCCGACTCTCCTGCAGGGTTAGAAATGGTCAGAAATGCTTTTGTAATCCTGAAGGTTTTTGGTGTTGCAGATATTTCACATGGTGTGGATGGGGTTTGAGCGTGATAACTGTATTTTATGGACATACTGGGCTGACACATAGGTAGAGGAGTCTTCAACCTCCTCTCGATATAATTGAGCTCGGAAACACACTTCCATTTGTAAGATGCTCCTTTCCTGGTATTCTTTGTTAAATTTGAACCCTGTTTCAAGGCACAAAAAAGAAGCGGCTTTGCCGATGTCGAATATCGGTTTGGTATGTCCAATCATCTCCGTATAAGAGTTACTTTTGGCAGCCAGGATTCCTTTCAGAAAGGCGATTGTAATGTACGTTGCAAATTCGTTTTGCCTCAGCCCACCACATCGTTCTCAGCAACGTTGTAGAACGTAAAATGATGCACTGATATTTTAATTTTGTAATACTGAGAAGACGCATTGCTCCTAGTTCCAAAGGAACAGCTGGCACGTCCATTCAACACCAGAGTGTTTTTCATCTTCACCTAAGGACTTGATGGCTATTTCCTTGTCGGCTGTGGCTTTCTGTTTGTTTCTTCACACGTTCAATGTTTCAACCAAGCGTGTTCACGCACGTTGCCGCAATAATCACGTAAATATCGCAACAATACTCACGAGGACAGAACAGAGCCAAGTTGAGCTCGTCGAAAATTTGCTTCACCAGAGGGAGGGTTTCTTCATTTCTGTATACTCTGAAGTGTAGAGCCATTACACGTCAGCGAAACTTTGGAAAGGGGCCTCAATGTAATGATACTCGTGATAACTTGTTGAAGAATCCCTCAACACTGAGGATACAACGGCCACACGTGCATTCCTGTTTGAATGCTCGTTCATCGCCCAGTTCCTAACCCATCATGTTCCAAAGTCTGATGGTTGACATAATAAATAACTGTCAACAAACTTTCTCCGCTAACTGTCAGCTACGTTGTTGAAAATGTCTGAATGCGCTTTATTTTCTGAACCTTTGGTCTCTTCAGACCGGCTTGATCCAGACGCACAAAACACTTCTCCCGATCACATCATCTTTTTTAAAAATGAATTACAAATGTACGCTTCTGTACCCATGTGAGTCTCCATACTGCTTTTAAAAAAATCTGTCTCTTTCCTTATAACTGAATTCGTCACAATGGCATCTATTATTCTGACAAGAGTATCTTTTGGATTTGTGGAGCTATTCTAGCTTTTGTTATTCCAATCTTTTGGTCTCATTTCGTCTCCAGTTGTGCTAGTCAATCTGTTATTTTCGAGAAGGCAGTCCCTCACAATGATCAATTTTACCATTTCCTTCTTCCATTCCTCTTCTACCCACCTCCCTGCCGCACTTGTCCATAATCTTGTCACAAAAATCCATTCCTTCTGCATACATCACACATGCCTTCCGCCGCCTTCCAATTCTATGTCCATTAGTTCCCTCGTTATTGCTGCCTACAGCTGTAGGGATCTCTGGCAATAGTTTAAAGAAAAATCTCAAACTCAGGGTCATTCTTAAGAAGACCATCGACACTTTCTGAAAGTGAAATGTACAAAACACCAGGGTGAAGCGGAGTCGATGGTGATAGCCATGGGCAATACCGTGGCTCCATGATAGAGGTGAATCGTGGATAACTTGCTGGAGTGCCCTTGCACTCCGCAGTCTTCTCCAATGTCTTTGCTAGACTCAGCTTTACCGGGCATCTATCTCGACATCGGGAATCCATCATGTATCCTCAGTCAGACTCATGTCAAAATGTCAAGAAAGTGGTATTTGAAAAGGGCTAGCATTAATTATTATAGAAGAACTGCATTAACGTGTATGAACTATTCTGTAAACCTGACAAAGATAGCCATTTCATATTCCGGGAGTTTTTTTTCTCTCTTTCGATGACTTGCTCTTGGTCCTTTCTTTACCAATCGTGAATCACAGATGATGCCGTCGGAGGTTTTTGCGTGGAACCACTCTCTCTGATAAATATATCTCTGGCATAATAATACTAAAACCAAATACTTGAATAGATAACTTTATTGATGCGTGACAAGTGAATCGTAAGAAAATGATGTCTGACACAATATAGTATACATCACGACTGAAACGTTTAATTTTGCGAAGAGACCAATGAATAATATCAGTTCACACCCATGGTCACAGCGTAGGATAATTCCAAGAACAAAAAGGATTGCATCCAGAATGTCAACAATGAAATAGTAACAATAAAGTGCATATTATTATTAAAATATTTTCTATAATATTTATAGTATTAGTTTTGTATTACTACTTCTCCTGCTGCTGCTGTTGCTGCTGCTGCTGATGATGATGAGTATAATGATGGTATTACTACTGTTATTACAGTTGCTCTGCAGCAGCTAACACTAGAGTGTGCTATAATACAACAATTAATGTAGGCGAAGAAGATGGAGAAGAAGAAGAAGAAGAAGAAGAAGAAGAAGAAGAAGAAGAAGAAGAAGAAGAAAAAGAGGAAGAAGAAGAAGGAGAAGGAGAAGGAGGAGAAGAAGAAGGAGGAGGGGAAGAAGGAGGAGAAGAAGGAGGAGAAGAAGAAGGAGGAGAAGAAGAAGGAGGAGGGGAAGAAGGAGGAGGGGAAGAAGGAGGAGGGGAAGAAGGAGGAGGAGGGGAAGAAGGAGGAGGAGGGGAAGAAGGAGGAGAAGGAGAAGGAGAAGAAGAAGGAGGAGGGGAAGAAGGAGGAGAAGAAGGAGGAGAAGAAGAAGGAGGAGAAGAAGAAGGAGGAGGGGAAGAAGGAGGAGGGGAAGAAGGAGGAGGGGAAGAAGGAGGAGGAGGGGAAGAAGGAGGAGGAGGGGAAGAAGGAGGAGAAGGAGAAGGAGAAGAAGAAGGAGGAGGGGAAGAAGGAGGAGAAGAAGGAGGAGAAGAAGAAGGAGGAGAAGAAGAAGGAGGAGGGGAAGAAGGAGAAAAAGAAGGAGGAGAAGAAGAAGAAGAAGAGAGAGAGCTTGTTGTAAAGGTGCGGGCCCCTAATGTGGCTGGAACTCTATTGATCTTTCATGTTCTTATGTCTCATCTAGATGCATAAATTAATTGACAAATCTAATCTAGTAAATGGAATCACACGAATACTTTATATTATAAGTCACTTCATTGTTGACTATAATATTATTTATCTCGATGAACACTGATAACAGTTTACAATTCTGTCTAGTTCAAGAGAAAAAAACCATACGGAACGGTCGGGGTGATGCGCGGCGGGGAAGCATGTAGCCGGTTTTCGATGGCACGTGTCAACGCGTGTCGCGACGGTCTGGTGAAACCGATGCGGCTATGTACATGGCCGGTTTGGAGATCCCATTTTTCCATCAGCTGCAGGTGTCCGTTTTGGAAAGTATCAATTAAAACGTATTTCTAGTTTTTTTTCGAACCTAATATTTATTGGGGACACGTATTAGGCTATTTACTATTCATTAAGCAAATAAAAAGATTTTTGAAATTTTTGCATGTAGCCGGTTTGTGAATCCCATCGACGTTATATATATATATACATACTCTCGCCCTTCTGTCCAATGCCGTGTTGTGACTGATAAGTGCAGGTTTGCTGTAATGTTCCGTAGAGTGTGTTGTCAATGTTAGGTCTCGGAGGGAGAAGGGTAGTTCTGATGTCATTTAGGGCTGTGCAGTGGAGCAGGTGATGATCCACAATCTCATATATGCGTAGTCACTCAAAGGACACATTGGGGGAAGTTCTAGTTTTATTATGGTTTAGTGGTTGGTTGGTGGGTGCTCTGGTGTGGTTTGCTTCTTCTTTCCTATATCAAACATCTATCGTCTTTATCTCCCCTCCATCTTTTTTGTGTTTGTTACTCTCTTGTAACTCCTCTAGTCTTTGGAACCTATATGACCAAGTGTCGTAAAACTGTTACTAAAACTAATTCTGTTTAAGTGAAAGTTGAGCTGTATACGTTCTGTTCGTAGGTGGAAGACAGAGATGTAAAGTTTTGTCATTTTCCGCCCTTTTCACCCCTCGGTATCCCGCAGGAACTGGTTCTGCTCCCTGGACGTTCACCAGCGAGAGGACTTGGTGGTGTTTGGTCACAGCACGGGACGCGTCCACCTACAGTCCAGAGGCGGCGAGACAGTAAGAGATCACACTGTTTGACTCTTCTACCGTATGCCTATCTGCTGTGTTTATAAGTGTGCTGCAGGCAAAGAAATTTAATTACCTCGTTGGTAAGCTGCCCACAGCGGGAATGTATACTCTAGTCTGCGGTCTTCATGTGCGTTTTTTTTTTTTTTTTTTGCGTTCATTTTTTGACCTTTGAATTATAGATGGAGCATTTTCAGCAATGGTTTTTTAATTTTATTTATTAATTTTGTTAATCTAGGATTTTTAAGCCAGTTTCAACTAAGTTTTTAAAAGTGAACAGCTGTCATGAAAGCAAGCATTTTAAGATAACGGCTTTGCAGAGTTATCGACTCAAGGCAGAGATATCAAGTCTTGAAGTTTTACGTTTGATTTCTCAAAGATGTCACTAGATAGGATGGTTCTTGGACACAAGCCTGCATCTTTTCAGGCAAATTTTGTGGCACACAAGATTGTTGTAATAATTTTACTTTCCCTCTTTTGTTTGTCTGTCATTTTTTATTTTTTGTGGGTGGTTGGTGGGTGCTCTGGTTTGGTTTGCTTTCCTACCAAACATCTATCATCTTTATCTCTCCACCTTTTTTGTGCATTTTGTTACTCTCTTGTATCACATCTATTCTCCGGCACTTATATGACCTTATTGTGTTGCAAGTGCCGTAAAACTCTTACTAAAACTAAAACAACTTTCTCCACCCAGGTGTGGACCAAGCGACTCCACAAGAAGAAGGTGACTCATGCCGAGTTTTCCCCGCGAGAGCCGGCCTTGCTGTGCACCGCGTCCTTGGACCACACGGTCAAAATGTGGGATATGCGCATGATTAAGGAGACTGCACCCATGGCGTGTTTACTGCATGACAGGGGAGTCAACTCAGGTATGTCTGCTAATGCTGCTTTTGAAACTCATTTTATGATTTTCTCTCCTTTTCAGCTGTTCCCCC